CGCAAGAGGCACCTACCTGTGACTTCTCAGCAGATTGCCAGGTAGAAAAATCTTTCAGGAGATTTGTGTCCCCTTATACTGCTATGCTTGTCTATATGTATTCGTTATGAAAAATTAATTGCATTGGTACATTTACAACATAAAAATAACACTTAAAAAATCCAAATAGGTGATGGTAGGGTTTGGAATGAAGATTAGAGGGCAGGGAACTGTGACAATGTTCACAGACATCGACAGGTTTATAGAGGTGATTTTATTTTCATTAGGGAGTTCGTTGGCATAAACACATAAACAAAAAGTCACCCAGGGGTTGTCTTTCCTTCGCCATCGTGGTGGCAGCAGTATGTCAGCCCTCACAAGCATACCAACAGCAGTGGCAAGCTGACCAGCAGCAGCCTAATTTAAGTTGGAAATCGAGTTTGGGCTTTTTCTGCAGTGGAGGGTATGGTCAGGTATAGGATGAAGCATTATTCAGGGTTGGTGTAACTGCCAGCAAAAGTTCTGCCATGCAATTTCAGGTACTGGCAGGGGTTTTTTTGCCATTTCATTGGCAAAAGCTGCATCCATATAAGCAACATTTTATCAGTACTGTACAGATCAGTTCTCATGCTTCTTGAGCAGTGCTCCCTCTGAAGACAATTTTGGGTGCTGAGTTTATTAAATAGACACTGTAGTCTTGAGTAGTAAGTGCGGAACCTGGCTCTCCTCTGGCTTTAAAGGCTAAGCTCAGATTCCTGTGGTTAAACACCTGATGCTGCTGTTGATTACATTGGTATTAATGAGTAACAGGGAATGTCAATAGCAGCCGTGTGATATTAAATGAAATGAGGTTCTGCCAGTGCCAGGTCGAGTTGAATGAGGTCATGATCAAGTCCTTGAAGCTGCTCTACCTGGATTGGGATGAAAGCAACCTGGGCCCAGGCAAAGGAGAGACTGAGTCTGTCTGGGCTCAGGCTCTGCAGAGTAGTAGTCTGCTTGGGAGCAGCCTGGTCGGTGTGGTCAGGGGGCCCCTGGGGAGCACGTCTGAAAGTGGCACTTAGAACTGAGCCCACAGTGCCGTGAGGGGCACAGCTGGCAAGCGTGCTGTGAGGCAGCTGCACCTGGCTTGAGCAGCAGCTGGGGGTGCAGCAGGGCTCCCACAGCGCTGGGGCACACGGCTGTAGTGCCGGCTGTATCTGCGTGCCCTCAGGCTTGACACCCACTCCTGGCTGTGGTGCTCTGCAGGCCTGGCTGGCGCTCTTCTCTGGAGGCTCAACTCAACTGCCTGAACAGAAGCACCCACTGCTGCTGGAGTGCCCTGACTGGTTCCTCCTTATCTCCAGGGACTACTTCTGGACGGCCCAGGCCTCCCATAGGTCCTGTGTCATACTTGCATGGCGCATGGGACGTGGAGATATTTTAGATCCCTTAGGACATTTGAAATGGGCCTGGGTGCCTATGTTCAGGCAAAAAAAAATCACCCAAGGTTTCTACAGGCTATGATGACAGCTTTGACGTCTAGCTAACATGGAAACACCTCCACTGCAGGCATGAAAATTTGTGTGTGGGAGTCTGGAGCCAAATCCCACCCAAAGAGTGACATACTACATGGGAACAATAGCAAATGAAAGTGTAGCCTGGATCAGAATGTTAATGTTAAATGTTGTGTTTGTAGATACACTGCAGTCAGGAAGAAGGAAAATTGTTGAAATAAAAACTATTTAACTAATATGATGTAATAGGAATTTGTGTAGCATGATAAAATTAATTTGTTTTCATCAGTATAAATAACTAGAGCTGTTTGTGTTTACAGTCTAGAAGAATTTAGATGAGGATGCAGCCTGGGAGACAAGATAAATAGTCTTGACTGCTAGCATTGGTTATCCTGTGCTGTTGCTGGACTAGCAGGTGTGAATTTCAGAAAATTCAGTATAGATTCAGGTTAGACCTTTACTTCTCAGAAATCTTGACACTCCTTAAGATTTTTGACCAATGCGTGTAATGCGTGAGTCAGTGCATGACATTTTGGTTTTAAATGGAGTCCCATGTGTATGTCTACTGATCACCAATAATAATATAACGTAAACCTGATGTCACTCATAAAGGATTAATCAAGAGAAGGTAATTTGAGGTCAGCGGTGCTACACTGGTATAAAGCCAAATGGAACAAAATTTTTTCTTCAGAATTTTTTCGTTGATGTCAAGGATCACAATTATGCTTAAGTGAATGCAGTACTGGAGCCTGTCGGTTGTGTGCTGGCTCTTTTGTTGCTACTAGTAAGTGGTCACTTGATCAGGTCCTGCTTGAGTAGGTCACTTAAGAGGAATGTGAGGTTATCAGTGTGGTTTCCTCTGATTTTTGCTATGACAGGATTACATTTTCTGTTTTATTAGTATTCTTCAGTGCAGTTTATAGATCTAAGCCTAAAAATACACGTCCTTCAGCATTGTTTTTTTGCACAGCAGAGATTAATCCAGCTGTAATTTGGATCACTACTGTAGGTGGAGTGCTGCAGAAGGAGAGTTATTGCTCAAGATAAGGGTGTAAAAAGCTGATTAGGAGATGACATGTGACGTGTCCTTCCCTCAGTCTAAAAGTACAGGATCATGGGATGAACTTGGTCTGACTGGTTAGGCAGAGTGTTCTCACATTTGTAGCTCTTACGGACAAGACTTTGCAAAACAAAACCATGAAATGGCTCTCATGAGCTCCTTTCTCAGTCATTGCATATGTGGAGACCCTTTACCTGTGTCTGACTCTGAGGTAAGAACTTTATGTGACTGATGATTTGGCTGCTCTGGCCTTGGAGGGGCTGTGTTTAGGGGACAGCTTTGCTGAAGCTTTGTCGATGCACCAGCCAGGGAGTCACGTCCTACTGAATTGCTTATACTATAAAAAACTGGTCCTGACTAAACTCTGCAGAGACAACTGTGACTCCATAGAAATCAGAAGTTATGCAAGTAGTCTATTTAGAATAAATTTCATGCTGTAAGTGATATAATTGAATGTAGAGAGATGTATGACTTTGATCATTGTTCATACCTTAGTTGCAGGAATCATGTTAAAATGCTGACTGTTTAATAACTGCCTACTAGCTAAAATGCTTTCATACAGTGCAATTTGTCTTAGGCTGTCTTTCAAACAAAAAGCAAAATCTGCTCACTCTATGGAATCATAGAATAATTTAAGTTGGAAAAGAATTTCAAGATCATCATGTGGCCTTTGAAAAAAAAGCTCATCAGACTTGTTGTGGCCTGGTTGAACACAGTAGGTGGAAAAGAAGATGACAGAAGATAAGTCCTCTTTCCCAGGAATCATTGTAAAAAGCTGATTCCGGGCTGCATGTTTGCCTTGAATATATGCAATACCTGAAAAAACTTCATCCAGACTGAGATCAATAAATGTAGCCAGAGCCAGACAATGATACCTCTCTTTTTTGGAATACTTACTAGCTTTGAACTTTGTCAGAAATGCAATTGAACAATCTAATGATACCCTAATAAAGAAGTATGCTGTTGTGTTTTTGTTTTTTTTAAATAAATATTTAGGATTAGTTTGTAATTTGTGTGAGAACTTGGGGCAGGGTTCACTTGCTCAGCAGTGCTCTGGAGTTTGTCATTCACTCTGTCAGGCATTCATGCAAGCTGCCACCCAGCCAGAAACACCCATCTCTTCTTTTCTCTGTTTCTGTTCTGTTTTTTTATAGAGAGCCCAGGAAGAGCCAAGGAAATGTTGAGAATTTGGAAATTTAAGGGAAAAGTGAATATAACATTTTATGTACAATATTTTTTTCTGAAAAACTGCAAAGGTTTTGCTAGGAAAGTTTAAAGCAGTATTACTCCAAATGTATGGAAAACCTCTAAAATGTTCCCTCTGACAAGTATTTCAGTTGAGATCGTTTTATTTCCAAATTTGTAGTATCAGTGCAATTATGATGCCTGTAGACATTAAGCTCTGTGATCCAGATGTGCTGTTAAATAGGAACAACATGCTAATTTGCCAAGCGTCCTCTCTAAAAATATCATTTTTTTCCTGTATTTGTGTTATAATGTACCTCTGGTCCTAGTCCGTATGACTGTAACCTCCTTGAGCGTATAGAAAATGAGCTTCTCCCTTCCAAACTGGATGATCTCGCTCACCCAATTCTCACATGGCTGCACAATCTCTAGATCTGACCCAGATGAGAGTGTGGGGGTGTGTGTGGTAGGAGGGGGTGCGACTGCCCACTTTGGTATCGGCTTACAGTTAGGTGGGGTGGCAACCAGCCAGGCTGCTGCCTTACTGATCATTCCCATCACTGAGCAGAGTTAAGGCAAGGAATATCACAGAATCAGAGAGCGGTTTAGGTTGGAAGGGGCCTTTGAAGGTCATGCAGTCCAACTCCCCTGCCAAGGGCAGGGACATCTCACTAAATCAGGTTGCTCAAAGCCCCTTCCAGCCTGGCCTTGAACACTTCCAGGGAGGGGACACCCGCAGTTTCTCCAGGCAGCCTGTTCCTCTATCTCACCACCATCAGCATAAAAAAATTTCTTTCTTGTGCCCAATCTAAACCTGCCCTCTTCCACTGCAAAATCGTTACCCCTTGTCCTGCCACTACAGGCCTTGATAAGAAGTCCAGAACACAGTGTGTTGGCTGAATTATTTTTACCTGTGTTACATATACCATATATCCTACTTGTGCACAGGAACAGGTCCTGTGAGTGCCAGATCTGTCTTGCCAAGACGTCATTCAGTGAATTCAGTGTTTATGATAGGTCCTGTCTGTACTGCCAAGTTAATAGGTGAGTTTTTAGTGTTATTAGTAATGTTTGTCTAAGAGATATTGTGGGTTACTCAGAACAAACATCACGATGTCTTTCCTTTGCAAAGCTACTCTCTTCCTGAATTGTCAGTTGCATTTGCTGTATTTATAATAACTCTGTTTTTACCAATGCTAAGTTGATCTGTCATATGAAAAACTCACAAATGGTTAACTGTCAGAAAATTCTGTGGCTTATTTGACTTGTTCACATTTAAAAAGGTTGTTTCTGATGACCAGTGGAAGAGGTCTCCATCCCAGGATGAAGAAAAGGCAGACACACAAAAGGTCACACACAGGAGGTGGGGCTCTGGAAAAAGATCTCGTCCCAGACCTCTGTCAGACTATGGCCAAATGGCAATCAGAAGTTTCTCTATACCAGAAGATGCAGTTGCGGTGGAGTCTCAGAAGACAGACTGCACGGATGGAGAAAATCAGCCAGGACTGGCTTCCCCCAGGTCTGTGATCCAAAGCAACACAGTAGGCTGCCACCGGGGGCGAAAAAGAAGACCCATCTCCGTGATAGGTGGGGTCAGTTTCTATGGAAGCGGTCCGGCGGAAGAGATAGAAGGTCTGCTGACACAAGTAAGATAAGAGATGTGCTCTCTGCAAACTGCAAAGGCCCTTTCACTTCCTTGTCTCTATCTTCAGTCTAGAAAATCAAGATGCTTCCTTCTCTTCCTTCCCTTTCGTCAAGCTGACATCATGTACTTACAATTCTGCTTTCCTGGTCACTAATTACTTTGTCTTGTTGTTAAAAAAACAAACCAGCATGGAATAAAACTGATGCTGACTTTGGGATAATCTTTTCTGTGTTGTAAATTAACCTCATTTCTTTCTTGGAATGGTCATTATGTCTCATTGGTATGTAAGAACTCATTTGTGTGTAATACAGCTGTGTGTTTCGTCTCCTGACACAGTGTAGGGCCTGAGGGACAGAGGAGTACAAATATATTAATAACGACACATTATTTATTGATATTTTCAAATTCTCCAAACCCAGGCCTGTTCAAAACCTATGGCATTAGCTGTGGCATTCAAAATCCTGGTATTGGCATAGCAAGAACACTTAAAGTTAATAAGGACATTGCTTAAGAAAACTGGTAATAAATTGAGAAATTAATGAAATAAAGAATCCAAGAGAACTGGCAATATGAATAAAAAGTTTATTTGTGTTCTGCTAAATTTACCTGATGGAATGAAAATAGGAAGCCTATAAGAAAACAGCATGTGATAGAATTAACACTTGAGAAATACCAATATAATTACTTGCCGTCTCTCGTGGCTTAGGTAAGAGAGTAAGAAAAAAAATAATTTTGATAGATAGAAATAGCTCTTTTTTCCCTGGAGTGGGTACAATGTGTAGGGGAACTTACTGCTGTGTTGGTAGTGGTGGCCCTGTCTTGCAGTTGATTACAGACCTTCAGATGCAGGGGCTTTACAACACTGCACTGATCAGGTGTTTTCCACTTCCCAGAAAAGCTGGAGGACTCCTACCTAAAACAGTTCTCAAGCTGATAAAGCAACAAAAAAAAAAGAAAAGAATAATATTTACATCTTCAAAAAATGTGATTCTAGTGGTTATTAAGGGAATTCAAATCCTCTTAATCTTTCTTATGCCACGTGATCTGCTGGGAAGTTCAGTGGTGCGCCCGGACTGAAATCAAGTGCTGAAGCAATGGCAGGTTTTTCAGTCTCCTGTGAAGAGAGTTTGAATTTTTTTTTTTTTACATGTACATTGTTACTGTATATTGCACATTTTTTTCCTTGTAAGTCCTTGATGAGAAAATACATCTTGAAGCAAAACTCCAGCTGAAGGCACTGAACCTTTTACCCAGTCAAAAGTCATAGTTTCAAACCCTATATAACTGGGACATTTTAAAATTAATTTTATCACTCCTTAGCTTGGAGGGAAAAAAAGAGGAAAAGTATTATAAATTCTAGGCCATCTTACTCAGAATAATAGATGGATTTCAAAGGATAGTAAGTATCAGCGACCCAATAAGTAATGATCCTTGCACCATAGAAAGTGATTTAACACTCTCCATGCCCTTCATTTACTGCTGAAAACAAATGGATCTCTTTTCAAACCTTGCTTGCATCAGCTTATTAACGGAGGCACGTGCATCAAGGCAGCTACTTGAGTTGACTCTTTCCATGCTCCGATGCTGCCTCAAGGGCTGGCCGGAGTTAAATGAGCACACTGTTGGATCACTGTGGTCAGGACCAAAACTACGGAGTATTCCTAGTGAGGGTACGTTTTTAACCCAAATGATGGTCTTCCCAGGCCTGCCACTGAGTAACAGCACATCCTTGTCTGTCCAAGGATTGTATCTACACTGAAGCCTTACAAGAAGAACTGAATTGCTCAGAAATAAATAGCTTTGTTGCTTAATCAGTCAGTGATTTGTATATAGTAACAGCTATCACTTCTATTAGCTATTTGATGCGATATATTTGACTTACTCTTTGTGGTGCTACTCAGTGACAGGATCCTGGTATATTGCTAAAGCACTGAGGAAATGAGGTTTAAAGATGAGGTTGTAGTTAAATCCTATTCAATACACACTGAGGTTTTGGCAGTCGTATTAGAAACTAAATTTGCAGCTGGAATGTAAAATAGGAGTGAGGAAGCAGGAATACATATGCTAAAAGTATGTGCAGCTTTCAAAGACTGGCCTTCACATTGGTGATTTTTTTCTTAAAAGCTTTGAAAACCCACGGGAATATTTGAAACCTATAGTGCTAAGTCCTTGTTTGTGGTGTTTTATTTTGGTCTGACAGCTTAGGTGTGAGAAAACATTTTCAAACTATGCTAAGTCACTGACTTCATAACAGAGTGTCAAGAGATAGTTCATTGAAGAACCATCCCTGGTGTTTCAGATTACTTAATAGAAGGGCCTATGAACAATAACAACTGAAAGAGAAGAGATCTAGAGATGAGTTTTTCTGAAGTTTGTGTGCTGAGATCTGACTGTTAAATGCTGAATGTTTATGCAAGGTCATTCAGCCTGGCTAATATGGAGTTGTTCGGGGATGACATAAAATTAGACTCAATTTGCAAATAAACCAGGGGTAAGTTCTCTAATCATAGTTAAGCAAATGAATGATTTAACTGAAGAAAATGGCTTCTAGATGAAGTTAGAAGTAAACTATCTTTTTAACGAGACTCCTGGGAACCTCGGAGAAGCGGATCATTTAGACAATTATTTTTGTCTTGTAAAGTATGTTTGTTTTATCTAAAAGAAATGCATTTATTTGAAGAAAGCAAACATCCCAGGAAACAGACACAACTTCCAGCTGTAGCTTTTTGGGTCCTTGGCTCACCTGGGTTTTCTTTCAGACGTGTTTACAACGCCAGCCTGCATGGTGCAGGATGTTCCCAAAGCAGTTTGGTCCCAGAGCATTTGGGCATGGAGGATTACAAGATGAAAGTTACAGTGTATCTGATTAGAGCAGAAGGCTAAGGAGTTTTTAATTAACAGAGAACTGTAACGTAATGAAATATTTTCTGTGATGCTGGTGGATATGGAGTGCAGTGTTCAAGTGATGTTGCTTCAAAGTGGGGGATTTTACTGCTGGACTATCTGAAGAGACCTTACTTCATACCTTTGAAGCTTTGCTCAGTGGGACTTGCTGGTAGCTTTACTAATACTGGATTTTCCTGTTTTTTTCTGCAGCCTGTAGCACGGCCGCCCGTTCCTGCGCACCAGGTCCCCCCTTACAAAGCTGTTTCAGCCAGGTTCCGGCCGCTCACCTTTTCACAAAGTACCCCCATTGGCCTGGACCGCGTTGGGCGAAGGCGGCAGATGAGAACGGCTAACGGTAAGATGAGCAAGTCTTTTTAACTTCATAGATCTCACCTTCACACCCCAGCTTGGTCAGGAAGTAGATTATAGTGTGGAACACAAAAGGCTGCAGACCAGCTCAGTGACCAAGTAGTACCCAGCTCAGTGGCTTTGTTTGGTGAGTTTCTCGTTAGTAGCTGCTGTGTTCACGTAGAACTTGTTTATCACATCTACTGTTTGACAATGCTATGGTTTATTCTTCTGTACCACTTACACTCCTGTATTTTCCACTCTGTTCATGTATTTGACTGAAGATATTAGAATATGAAGGAGGCAGGGTCTAATATGCTTGAGTTCATACCCAAAACATAGCCACAGCACAGATGTATTTCTAATTTTCTGTTTGCTATGCATTCAGCTTAAGTACCTAGATAGGCAAATAATAAATAGTAACAAGTAAATAATTAAGTAGCTTGTTGCAGAGAACTGTATGCAATTGCAGTTGCTTACTCACTGATGAGCGTAGCCCAGACAGGGTTCTGGCAGATGATGGCAGGTGCTTGGAAAAGACTGCCTTTTTGGAAGCATTACCCATTATCAGACTTTCTGATGTGCTCTGTGTGTTCTTGCTCTAATTGTTTAGCATGCAATGCTATCTTGAGTTAATAGAAGTCATATCTAGCATTAGTGGAACCTTTCTTGGCAGGTGGGACCAGAAGAACCTGGAGGAATTCCATTTGTGTTCTTTCAGATCACTGTGAGCATAATCTGAATAGTTAGTCGTGTTTCATCAGCAAGGGGTCAGAAATAAAAGCAAAATTTTCACCTCATATCCTTCACTGTTACTAGTGAACAAAACACTACTGGGAACTTCTCTGCATCTCTGTGGAGTGAGTGAGGGTGTATAGATCAGGGCTTGCCATGACTAAAGTAGGAAACTTAATAAAGAAGCATTGAAAACACTATTAAAATCACGTTTACTAGCCAGTACTTGGCTTTTACAGTTCTAAACTAAGTTTTAGCTGCAATGATGCTCAAATTCTGCTCAAAAAATCCCTCAACTACAAAATAATTTATATAAGAACATGCTAGAACTGCATTTTCCAGTCTTCAGTTAGAACATGACAGTCTTTCAGAAGGTGCTCTCTAAGGAACAGACTTGAGAATTTCTAACTATAGCAATGAGACACATTATATGCACTATATTAGTATATAAAATTTGTATTGGGAACTACTTTAAAACACATGTTTCGGGTGTGTCTTTGCTGTACGTATCTCAGCACAGATCCAGATTAGACGTCAAGGTAAATTAGATTCCTAATGCTGCAGCCCTTGCTGAGATTATGTGGTACCTCAGTCCCCGATTCCAGAAGGGCCACTCTCAGAATAACAAGATTGCCATGAGCTGATTTTTAATAAAGGAGACTCTTCAAGTATCACAGAGGGGGAATTATTTTTCTATTTTTAGTTATCCTTTCCATTTCATGTTTGGAAACCACATGAAATAATGTTAGTTACCCAGACAACTGCTGGAGAGTGGTATCTTTCCAGGTATTTAGCTTTCGAATAACTGGTCTCCTAAACGTAAGCATCAGGATGACAAATACACAAAGCAAGATCTCTGCCACCTTTCACAACCATGAAGCCAAAGCAATATTGATTGTGCTAGATGTGACTTCTATGACTGATTACAATAAGCATGGCACTTGTGCAGGAAAAGCTTCTGAAATTAAAGCCTGAAGGCAAGTGGGGAATACCATGGACTTCAAAGTTCAAGAGCAGTTGCAAAGATTTGTGGAGTAGCTCCAGTAGAAAATAATAAAGTGACTAGGGTCACACATTCTGATCTTTTTCCTTTTTCTCTTAAATTCACAAGGCATTTCCTTGTCTTTGAACATGTGAGAGTTTTTTGTTTGCTCATGTACAGTGAAATTTGATAGCACAAAAGCCCTTTATTGTAGAAAGAAATTCTAAACCCAAGCACGGAAAACCAGTGGTGTCTTATTTTAGTTACTGGCTCAAGCCTAATACATTGCATGTCTACTTTTACAACAATGGGAGATAGAACTGGAGATGTGAATTTTAAGAAAAACAACTGTTACAAGACAACAAATTATAGAATCATAGAATCCTTTAGGTTGGAAGAGACCTTTAAGATCATCAAGTCCAACCATTAAGCCAACACTACTAAGTCCTCTGCTAAAACAGATCAGAATCTGTCAGGGCTGGAAGGGACCACAAGGGTCACCCAGTTCCAGCCCCTCTGCCATGAGCAGGGACACCTCCCACTAGATCAGGCTGCCTAGAGCCTCATCCAGCCTGGCCTTAAAGACCCCCAGGGATGGAGCCTCAACCACCTCCCTGGGCAACCCATTCCAGGGTCAAATCATCATCCTGTAAGAGACAGACTAACCACCAGCCATTGCATAAGGGAAACCTCCCTTGAGACTTACATTGCTACTTTTGTGCTTAAAGGGTTACAAGTTTTAAATTATATTAAAGAAGTTGCCTGTTTTTCACAGAAGAGCAGTTTTTTAAAGTATCTTAAAAATTAACCTATTGTTTTTGCATATTGTGGTGTAGGACTTAACTTTGGCTAAATTAATCAATGAACTGCTTTAGGGAGTCTCAGCTCTGAGTAGGTGGAGTGAGATAGTTCAAGTTCAAGGCATCTAAATTTAGTCTAAATGCTGGTACCTACATAAACATTAGAACACCCATTACAGGCAGCAGAGGACTAGGGCTTCATTCACTTAACCACCCTGGGGTCCAGTGCTGTTGTAGGTAGTTGAGCATCTGCCTGCAGCTGGCAGATGTGACAGAAGACCTATGGAAGACCTATTCCTCTCTTCAGTGGCAGATGAAGGCCAGAAGGATATCCAAAATACTTTAAATGGTGCTAAGTATCTACATTTAAATGACCAGTTTGAGGCCCTAGCCATTGCAGTCAGTGAAGGCTAGAGCAGGAACTGCCCTTGGATGAGGTGGATTGCCCTCTCAGCTGTTTTAATGGTGACAAATACTCCCTGATTTTAGGTGGCTTGTTCAGATGTGGATTATGGCATTTAAATTAATAGATTTAAGTGTCTCTGATTCAATTAGTGTCATGTCCTGGATGTTTACCTGCAATGTTAAACTGCCGTCAAGCTTTTCCCAGTTCATCAAGGTTGAGTAACCAAGTAGGTTTTAGCCTATGTGGACCACAGCTCAGGAACTGAGGTGCCAACAAACGGGCTGTTGGGGAGGAGAGATTTTCAGTTTCTCCATTGCTGTCACCAATCAAATAAACCCTGTCCCAAATAGATTATTTGCCATGCAAGTTAACAAACAGAAGTTATTGAGAGAAAATGGTTCCCTACTTGCTACCAACTCCTTGCTACTCTGTCCTTGCTCTTCCACCCCAAAAGAGAGAGGATGTGAGTAGGACAATGTGCAGGAAGCACAAATTCCCAGATTACTACACTGAATGCTGTGTTTGTGATTACCATGAGGTGGGTGGAATATGTCTGATGTTGCAAGCAGCTCCATGGGGGTTGCTGTATTCTGCAGCCAAAGTGCCTGAAAAGCTCAGGGAAGCAGACAGACTCATGGACAGGACCTGAAGGGGCATAATGAAATTCACTACGACAGGCTAAGCATTCCCAGTGTTGCCTGAGACAGAAAAGCCTCTGGACTGAAGGATGATGGTTGTGTGATACTTTGAAGGATGTGACTCTTTATTGATGGGGAAAAAAAAACCCTATGCTGGTGGGTAATGGGATTTAATTGCATAGATAGCTGGGCTTGGTGATGCAAAGAGGACCTAGCAGTGTGTCGGGAGCAGCAGGTACACCAAGTGAAGCACCTAACCAGTCCTAGGGACTCCAGAGGAGAGGTGATAGCTGTGTGGTAGGTGGGTACCTGGGAGTGTGTGATGGACAGGAGGCAAGCCTGGGAGGCAAAATTGAAGCTGTCGGGTAGAACCTAAAAGACCAGGAGCCCCATGGTAAGATTGTACGAACTGCTGCCAATGCTATGCTTAGTGTCAGACAGAGGGGCCTTTTTACCTCCAGGCATCTTCATGCAGAAAGCTGAATTAAAAGGGGAGAGATTTGGATTATTTATGAACCAAGGAACATTTGAAAAAAAAAAAAAATCCTTTGTTTTGCAAACCAAACAAAAACAGGCTGCTGACGTGCAAATCAAGAGATCATGGAATAGTTTCTGAACAAAAAGTTAGGGGAAGGCTGGTGAGGTGAAATAATCCGCAGTATAGGACAGCACATCCCTTATGGACAATGTTAATGTTCACTACATCCTCAGTTGATGGGGCTGTATCAAGTGATACATTTGATCAATTGATGGGGGGGATGGGGCAGAAGCTGACAAAACTCCAGCAAAAAATAGGAACATTTGGACAAATGTAGCTTGAAGAGGATTTAGAAAAACAAGCAATCCTGCCAGTAATAGTGAAAGCTTAAAAAGTAAGGTGGAGAAATAAACATATTTTTAAAGAAGCTAGATGGCATAAGTTAGAAATTTGACTGAAGGAAGATAATCAGTGGAGCATAACCAGCATTAACATCTCAGCATTGTGCAAGCTATATAGGAATAACAGAAAAGATTGTACCAGTGGAAGAGGGTCTCTGACATACTAAAGAAAAACTTAACAGCCAGTTCAGATAATCAAATTGACTGTATCATCAGGTGTCACAGGATCTGTGGACTGCAGTGCCATGCCTAAATGGGAGAAAGTTTAGTGACAGGATTAAATTATAAATCACCTACACTCACCAGGATGGTGACAGTAAGTGTGACAAACCAAGGAAAACAGAAGAGTTTCAAGGACAGCAAGCACAGTCGTAAAAGGGAGACTTAAATTGCTGTCCTGTGGGTTAAACATTGTAATGGTGCACAGTGCTGTGCTTTTAGGTGTAGCATGAATAACTCCTCAGTGCAGCCAATCAGGAGACCTATAGGAAGGGAAACAATTCTTGAACCATTCCTGAGGTGTGTGCAGGATCACACGTAAGAGCTTCTCTGTAAGGGTGAGATGTG